TAGACGATGGTTGATCTAGTATTTGTAGATTAAATACTGCTACAAAATAATGTTGATTTGTTGTCAAAATTAATGTTTTTCTTCTTAACGTGATTATGTTTTAATTTTCAGATACAACCAGTCTTAATGATACAAACACCACGGGGGTTCCTTCCTATGGAACTGCACCAACACTCACCTCGCAAACACCTATTTCAACTGGTACAGCACCGACACTCACCTCGCAAATGATGGAAACACCTGTTTCGACTGGCACTGCTCCGACACTCACCTCGCAACTGACGCAAACACCTATTTCGACTGGTACTGCACCGACACTCACCTCTCAAACACCTATTTCGACTGGTACTGCACTGACACTCACCTCTCAAACACCTATTTCGACTGGTACTGCACCATCACTCACCTCTCAAACACCTATTTCGACTGGTACTGCACCAACACTCACCGCGCTTCTGTCAACTCGCTCTGCTGAACGTCGCTCTACTCTTCCAAATACGGATAGCTCAACAATATTAGAAACATCTTCATCTCCAATGTTAACACAAGCTACATTTTCACCAGTGACACAAACAACAATGCCTTATCCCACTGTACCACACACATCATTTTCCCTAAGTACAATCTTTCCCCGTACAACAAATTCACTAACAACAATGCCTTTTCCCACTGTACCACATACATCATCTTCCCTAAGTACAATCTTTCCCCGTACAACAAATTCACTAACAACAATGCCTTTTCCCACTGTACCACATACTGTAACAACAAATTCACTAACAACAATGCCTTTTCCCACTGTACCACACACATCATCTTCCCTAAGTACACTCTTTCCCCATACAACACAGTCGCTAACAACAATGCCTTTTCCCACTGTACCTCCAATCACCACTACTGTTATTATGACAACGGAAGAAACAGGTATATGTATATATGTATTTTTGCTTCATTTGATAGCAAATAATAAATTATTTTTAAATAAGCCATGACTATATATTTCCGATAGCGCACATATATCATGCAGAAGACAAGAGTTGATGGTTTTTCTATTAATTTCAACAATTAATTACATTCAGCAGAATCCTGAAATCAAATTTAAAAACCTACAACAATAAAGTGATACACCACGGCAGTGCATACTAGCTTTAATATTTATTTAGGGATTTGTTACCAAACGAACAAGGTGTTCATAATAAAACTAATGTGAGGAGTTCTGCATATAATGTAATGTAACTCGTACGTGTTAGCTAGCAGTAGATAGTCTGTAGACAAGTCTCAGCCACGTAAAGCATGAAAAACAAATAGTGAATCAACTGATATTTTTTACTGACATATTTGAATTTCAAACTAAAATTTCGCATTCAGAATATTACACGGCTTACATTTGATGTCAAACACGAACTTTAGGTTAAATCACGGTTTTCAAAATCTAAAGAAAAATATCTGCATATGTATGTTACAGAGAGAGTGTCTTTTCTAATATACAAATTGTCGAGTTACCGATGACCGCTATACGAATGATTTTGCTAAATGTTTAGAAAATGATAATCCCGTTCTGCCTATTTGTGTTTAAGATTGTCAAATTTTAATTGAACACGTTTACCTCAATGAACATTTTTTGTTATGTGGATTTAGTTTACATCTACAGTGTCCGGTAAAACATTACTGTATTTTTTTTTAATAATTCGACATTCATTACACTGTCATTATAAATTTCTTTAATTGTTGTCTTCATATTTCACGGGATATAATGTTAATATGTGTACCGACTATTCAATCGTGACATTGCCCTCACAAACATGTGTTATTATTTGAATATCCTAGTATTCATGTGTTGCTAAAATGAGGTGTTCGCTCTGTTACTTCTGTCATGGCAACAGTGAATAACGATGTATGTGATTTTTCGAAATCACACTGCATGGCTATGACAATGTATATCAAATGTTATTTGTCGGAGTAATGGTATTACTGTGTGGCTATCTAAGCTGTCAATCCGCTTCCTTGTTTTCAATATTGTTGTCAAAGTTAATAGTATCGACTCAGAATATTATAATAATGCAGTTTTGTGCGTTTCTGGAATAATTTGCAGTTGTTTCCGTCTGATCTCGGTATTGTTGCGATTGCACGGAGCTATTAATTATTCCTGGGTAATATGTGATTCAGTGAATTTTGCTCAATAGAAAATAATACGTTGGTACAACCTACTCAGACTGTATTACTGTAATCGGCGTCATTCATGGTCTGCCTAATAGTGAAATGACCGTTGTCATCTTGTGCGTTTAGAAATATTATTCTCTGTTACCACATTTCCCATAATTAAGCAGTAATTTACAATAATACTGACCATTGTAAACCTGTTTTATGTGTGTAAACAGCGTTAGAACATCACCTATAACAATATATTTGATTTGATTTAATTTTACTAGTACAGCCAGTGCTAATGAACGTAGCCTTTAACAAGACAGCGATGTTAAGTACCATTTGGTCACCTTCCTACCCAGCATCCAATGCAGTGGATGGTAATACTAACACAAACTGGTATCAGGGTAAAAGTTGTACTTCCACACGCAAGGAAACTGGTGCCTGGTGGAAAGTTGATCTTGGTGCCAATTACCTTGTATTTAATGTAATTCTTACTAATCGCCAAGGTTGTTGTGGTGAGTTGTGGTATAAAATTGTTTGTGAAATCGACCAAGCACACCCAAGGACAGCATTTCAAGGTGCTGCAGAGTACGAGTAGTTTGATATGATATGATATGATATGATTGGAACGCGCACAAACAAAAATGAGGTTTAGTCCAAGATATAAGATGTAAAATGTGTTTCGTTGAATTTAAGACAATGACTATGTATTGTGTAAGGTGTCTTATGAATTAAGGTTAGACTACAATTAGTTGGTTTGTGCGATCACCAGAAACATGTTTCAAAAGGCAATCAATAGCTTTAGATCTTTGTGAACATGGTATACCTTAAATTAACAGCAAATGAAATAAAATTGATCACTCTATCGTCGAATATTTATGGCTAAAATAATGTGTGTAAAAGCTAAAATAAGAACGTTTGGTTTTATATTTAACAAAGCATAACTCAGGAATAGGTAATACCACATAGTGGTGAAATATGCCGATTGTGTTTGTATACCGCTCACAGTTCTACAATAACACAGCAAAAACAACAACTAGGTGAACAATCAAGGTTTCAAAAATGCGTCAATGGTATAATTAATAATACAACTATTGTTATTCATTTTTAATAGTTCTGTGATTTTATTTCAGAAACGCGTATTTTGAACAGCGAGGTTAGAATTGGTTTATCGGATTTCATATCTAATAATACCCGCTGCGGTGAATTAGTTACACTAGAACAAACCAGTCAGTCAGACATCGTATTTGAATGTGACAGTCCGATTGTTGGACGTTACGCCAGTCTGCAGCTTGTGGACAGAACTGATCTTCTTAACCTTTGTGAAATGCAAGTGATGGCAATAGGTAAGGAACAAGTGATAAATGCTTACTAGAAGTTTCACTGAATAAATATTATACTCGTGAATGAAAGTGTGACGGTGAAATGGAACAGCTATCCCTTTATTCGGATCATTTCAAGAAAACAAATGTTAAATGTATTCACTTTCATCACTAGCGTTCCACTTAAAGCACTTGCTTGGTAACGTTTTTTCTACTTTGTTTTATCTTTGCTGATCTTGTATATAATTGCATGTTTAGAGAAAACATTTAAAAATTACCTCAAAATAAGATATACAAGTCAATATATTACTCATATCAGACAGAGGTGCCTGGCGTCGCTGTTCAAAATTGTCTAATGAAATCTGACCAACAAAAGGATGGGTGGTAGCTTTATCCTGATATATATATATATATATCTATATACATACTTGAAGTAAAATGGTTGTTTCCGGATATTGAGCAAAAAGCCAAGACAATACAATCTCATTAAAATATGGTCAATAAAAATGGTCGTCAAAATACTAGAATTGTTCAATCCAAGGTAGTTTATATAAAACTTACTGTATTTGAATACAAATCATGCACAAGACAGAGTAGTGATGAAAGTCGATTAGCTCCGTTCTGTAATTCCACATTATGTTGTAAGTATGAATGTATCAGAGATAAATGTTACGGACAAACACATACAAAAATAGGAAACCTAGATATGAATACAGAAATAATATTAAGAAACATTCGTACAGCACAATGTAAACATGATACATTCCTAAGTATGTACTGTCGAATAGTCGAAATCCATTCAAAAATCCTATGTCGTTATTATTAAAATAACACCAGTCCAGTGAATGGTGCATACAGTGATCAAATTATGCAAATACGCAGATGTATGAACCATTATTTCGAAAATGCATTACTAATGAAGGAACTGTAAATGAATGAATGAATGAATGAATGAATGAATGAATGAATGAATGAATGAATGAATGAATGAATGAATGAATGAATGAATGAATGAATGAATGAATGAATGAATGAATGAATGAATGAATGAATGAATGAATGAATGAATGAATGAATGAAAAACATCAAACCACAGTGCTAATTATCTAAGTTGCTGCCAAATCAACCCTACTTCTAAACAGTTACCTGAAAAAATGACATTTCATGTAAACAAAATACCCTAAACAGGAAAATATAAATCATGTAAAAAGTGAACTGTCACACTTATACAATATTCACTTTATGATTGTATGTGTTATCTAGAAAATATTGCTGTAAATGGAATTGCCAGCCAGAGTACTACTGCTTCTGGAGGACTGCCAGTTCGTGCAATAGATGGAAATGATTCTTCGATGTATGGTCAAGAGAGTTGCATGCACACGATAAAGCAACTAAACAGTTGGTGGAAAGTAGATTTGGAATCAACTTACGATATTTTTAAAGTGGTTATAACGAATCGTGGAGATTGTTGCGGTAAGCTATAATAACATAAATATGATTTTATGAAATTGTACATAACAGTTGATCAATGTTAGAACACTATGTGCATCTTTTTTAAATATTCACAATGAATTCACATG